GTTTTCGATTCGATGGACGAGACCGGTTGCATTTCGCCGCCTGCCGATACACATCCAAAACATCTTCTTGCGCGAAAGCGAGATGTCTCGGGCCAGCACGTGTGTCATGTTCCGTCGCCCAGAGCAGCCATCGGGAAAGCTCACGGCACAAAATACAACCTATTGAACCCTGCATTGGAGTGGACTCGGGTACAAGCTTTTCTTTTCGACCTGCTTCCTCTTCCTTGTTGCTTGCAGTCCGCTCCGATTGCAGTGCATAGACAGAGAATAGGGGGGAGGTCGTCCAGGCAGCGAGTGTGCACAGGGGCGTGCCAAACTGTGGTGTGCCACTGGTTTCTGTAGTTCTGACCGCATATGTCCGCGGGTCCGGGAGGCCTCACCCGCCCCCTATGTAGGACTGGGAAGAAAGTGACAGTGAGTGTGAGACTGAGAGTGAGGGTGAAGCACAACGGGTGCGCTCCTTCTTTTCTGCCTGGCAGATGGCTGGATGGGTGGGTGGATGGATAGAGAGGCACACAACGATCCCATGCCGCCCAGAAGAAGCACAGGGAGGAGGGAGATTGACGTGCCAGTCAAAAACCGGTACAGAACTGCAGGGAGGGCTGTCAACGAGTTCCTACCGATGCAGGGCTCGGACAGATCTCCATGCTGACGGCGAAATGTCCCTTGCTCGACTTAACTACAGCTGGTGGAACCGGTGGAGTCAGGGCTTTGTCAGGTGCCCGTGAGGCTGGGATCACCGACGAGGAGATTGAGACGCACGGCTATTCGGTCATAGCGCTGGAGCCGGCGGCCGAGGACCTCTGCCATCAGTGTGAACAAACCGGGTCTTTCCAGGCAGATGCCCAAAGTGGTGAAGCTCGCCCGGCGCCTTTTTCGCGACAATGGCCTCGATCGAGATGTCTTCCTCTGCTCGGAGGCTCCGGAATCACGTCGCCCCCAGGAAAAATTGCCTTCGCTGCTCGCAGGATGTCCGAAAGCTGCCGAGCTCGGCTCCAAGCAACCAGCTCTTTCCCCAAAGGGGGCGTGGACAAAAAATATGAAAAACCCGATAGAGGTCAACCGCAGCGCGCGCAGCTGGTGGTCTGCGAGCACTTTGACCCCGGGCTGCTGGGCCCTGTGCTCGGTGCCATGGTCCCTTTGAGAGCGGAGAAAGAGATCTCCCAAGGTCCAAGGAGAGGGGGCAGACGGGGGCAGAGGGGCGCGTCTCTGGTCTTTGTTCAGGCGGGCTCGTTCTCAGGTGAGGGCATCCTGGTGCTCTTGAATGCGGCCCGCATCAAGATGTGCAATGCCTTCGAGCACCAGGCGCAGAGAGACAGAAGCACCTGGAGTGCCGATCTGGCAAAAAGTTGCATCGGCAAGGTTATCCCTAGCAGAGCGACCATTTGGGCAGCTGCTTTCGAGTGTCGAACCCAGTGCGATGCCTCTTAGGCTGTCCGGATGGATGTCTGTACGACTGTACGTCTCATCTTCCCATGGAATCCCGGCTCCGGCTTCACAGGTTCGGCGAGCAACTGAGGAGCTACGACGGGCCGGACCAGAAGAAAAAAGGCCAGCCGAGGAGCAAGCGATGCCAAGACAGCGCCAGGTTCGACCTGAGTGCTCTGAACCACTACCGGACCGGTCTGATGACCGCCACCGAGCTTTTCTTTGCCCTCTTTGCTGAAGTTCTGAAGTTCGGTTGGGGTGCCTTTCAGGACTGACGTGGACACGGCACTGGCTGACGGCAGCGCCCGGCAGCTGTCCAACGTCTTTGAGGCGGTGGGCAGAAACGTTAGTTGTCATAGAAAAGCCGGAAAAGCAACCACTACGAGAGCATGAATGAGGTTTCACATGTGAGAGAATGGATCGTGGCAAGTGAGATACAGTTATGTATAGGCACACAGCGACACGCAGTAGATGGGATGGAAGCCGATCGAGGTGAAGGTCAGGGTTGTAGGTGATGTGATTTCCAAGCCTTGTGAGGTTTTCAAGTTTGACTTCGAGAAGAACCTCATGCCAGATGTCGGGTCCTTGGTGGTCTACTCGTGTTTCCCCGCAGAAAGAGCGGCACTTCGATTGTTTTCCAGGCCCATTCCATCACCTTCACGCCCATCTCAGCAGGCCATTGTATCGGCTTCATCGTTAATCGGCGTAGCTTTAGCAGAGCGGAGGAAAGATCACGGCTATTGTGTTCTGGTACGAGATGCACATGGACATGGAAGGTCGCTGAGGGATTGTTGGGTTGAGGCATGGGGTTTTGCTGCGCTGTGCATCAGGAGATGTGATCCTCACCAACTGGCCGGAATCGATTCCGCCAGACTCCACGGGCAGCACGTAGACATGTAGACGCAGCTTCGGGCTTCTCCTTGCTCGACAAGGCCTGCAGACTTCTCCATGCTCGAGAAGGACCTGCAGAGGTCTCGGAGGGTCAGTGAAAGCGGGAAAAAAGCGAAGCAGTTACGAGCGTGAGACGCGGTCTCGTTTCTGGGAAGATCTTGCTGCGCGACGTACGCCCCTAAGTTCCCAAGGCTTCTCTGAGTTCCTCCGAGGCACCGGGTGTCGCCGTTGCGACAAGCTGTCTGCAACTTCCAAGGCCAGTGCTTGGTTCCTCCCAGTTCGGGTCCCTCCTGAGAGATGGCTAGGGCCAAGGGTGGCTAGAGAGTGGAAGGGAAAGAGCTTGTGCTTTCAAGCTTGTCTCATGTTCTGATAGAGAGAAATCTACTACTGAGCTCGTCTTTTCGAAGCGCTAGGTCCGAGAATGTCGCATCTCTCTTCCGTCTTGCCTGGAGGCAGCTACATCCAGGAGGTGGTCAAGGATCTCCTTTTTCCTGCACAGCTCCGCTCCAGCGACCTGACGCCCTTCTCGCTGCGGGACAGGACGAGCCCATCGAGATCGACGTCGGCTACCAGCAGGCAGCCTCACAGGCTCAGGGCACTTCCAAGGCTCCAAGGATGCCCTGACAAAGGCCTGGCCGCAATTCATCTGGCCAGGCACGGAGATGGCCCGATGCCCAAAGCTCGAGTCCTGTCGGTCATCGGAAGTGGCACAGAGACGCAGAGGTGCAGAAGGAGAGCGGCGAGAGGATACCGAAGCCTCCTCCGATGCCCCGGCAGTGCCTTCAGTGCTTCCGAAACTCTCCGCTTCTCAAGTCTTAGCAGGGATTTCGAGGCATCGGCTCTACTTCGAGAAGATGAAGACAGAAACCGAGAAACTGGAGTCTCCGCTCTCAGCTTCCTGGCACCCCGCGGAATAAGCCTTCCAGAGATCTGATGACTCTCGCCGAGGCAACAGCTGCAGAGCGGGTTGATGTACGATGCAGGGAAGCCCAGAAGAGCTGCTGTAGGCATTCATCTTTTGGCCTTTCAAGGACAGGGTCATGCTGACGTGCCCGTTTTGCATGATGTCTACTCCTCGCCTTGGCCCAAAGTCGCCTCACTGAAATTGTGAGGGGCTGTGAACTGCCTCTTTCCCCGCATCTTGGCCTGCAAGTAGATAGACAGCCGTTCGTCAAGCAATCGAAGATGCAGGTCCTTGCTTCGGAAAGAACTGAGAAGACAAGTCTGAAGCAAACCCTCTCGCAAGTGAATCCCCCTGAACCCAGGAGCGGGAGAGGCGTCCATTTTCATGGCGCGTATCAGACACCTGGTGCTTTTGTCCCTAACTGCTCTCTCCATCGCAGCCGAGGAGCTTGGCCCGCTTTAGGTGTCGGAAGCGAACACTAAGTCTCAGTATGTCTCAGTGCTAAGCCTGCTAAGCCTTGTGGAGGAAACCCAGTGGTCGACCGTCCGAGTGAAGGGCGACGGCCGGGGAGATGGTCACGCCCACGTCATCGGCGATGTGGGCACCGCCACAGTAACCGTGTCGCAGGCCTCGCAGGCCCAGGAGCCATAATTTTCTGTTTTCTTTGCGAAGGTCCGTGGATCAAGCTCTTGTTTTGTTCCTGCGAGGATGCCGTGCATGACCGTGTGCATCATGTTCACCATGTCACGTACAGTGACGATCCTCCAGAGCATCTACACGAGTACGTGCAAGCCTCAAGCCTCAAGCGACTCAAGTTCAGAGCATAAAGTCATAGACGAGTCATAGAGTGTTTGAGATCTTGTTTTGTTCCTGGGAGGTGGTGCATGACCGTGTGCATCATGTGCACCATGTCACGTACAGTGACGATCCTCCAGAGCATCGACACGAGTATGTGCAAGCCTCAAGTGACTCAAGTTCAGAGCATGGAGTCATAGACGAGTCATAGAGTGTTTCTGAGAGCCGAGTATGCAGGCGACATATGCGGACAGGGTTCCGGGCGAAGCCAAGCCGGACTGGTCGCACGTGTACTTGTCACAGCAACACCTTGATCCCTCGAAGGCCAGCCTTGCCATGGTGGAATGACACACACACACACAGAGACACGTACGTGCGTAGCAACGTAACACGCGATCCTTCCTTCAAGCTGCGCCTGCAGGTCCCAGCCGAGTGGATGGACGACACCGGCAAGGTAGCACCTCTGCTGGGCTTGAGCTGAGCATGACACACATCCCGGTAAGGACACGCAAATCATCCACGATCACCATATCATCTTCGACGATTTGCCCGCGGTCCATCATGTGCAGCACATCGTCCACCATCACTACGACCAAGCGCAGGCTTCACTGCGCTCGTGGAACGGCACGCTGCAGATCTTGCAAGCCTGTGGAAGGCTCCTGCGCCAAAGTACACGTGCGATGGGCGAGAAACGCAGTTTGATGATTGCCCAGACCAAACAAGGCGCGTTTCGGGCTCTCTCCCAAGGCATCGCCTCGACCTGCTTCGGCTGTGTCAGGTGTGTCGCCTGCACTCCTGTGGACTGCCTCTTCACTGAGTGGAGCAGGTGGGAAGTTGTGCCAAGGCCGTGAAAGCAACAGAAAGTCCCGGAGATGAGCTGAGGTGGTACGATGGTGCTGGCTGTATAGGCCTCCGATTCCGACACAGAAGCATCCAGGCGGGCAGCGCGGAGTCGGCTTATATCGGCTTTCGCGTTTGCCACAATGTACCTTTTGTCGAGGTGCGGAACAACGAATGCGGCTTGCCATGCTATGGATCCAAGATGGAATCCGAGCTCTTGGCAGAGCCGAAGCCAGAATGCTTGAAGAAGCAGCAGGACGGGATCCTCGAGATGGGTCGAAATCACACTTGGCGCTTGCGGTGGACATGGTTGGTTCTCCTGAGGTCCTTGTAGAAAGAGAGTGCCAACGAAGCTAGGGCAGCTAGGGAGCGGAATCGGGAGGACTGCGTGTTTTCCTCGTGGAGCCAGTGGAGCGTCTGCAAGAGCCAAGTGGATCAGGCCAGGCCCGGAGAGACTCGGAGAGAAGCGAAGCGATGCGAAGCGAAGTGTGAAGCGAAAGCTAGCATCTCAGGCGATACGGGAACGTCACATCGACCGAGAGCCACTTCACAACGGCGAGCCCTGCAACTTGCACAAACCCTAGGAAGGCCTTTTCTTCTGCGGTGTCGAAGGCGACGCATGCTGACGCCTGACTCACAAGGCAAGGGCAGCAGCAAGGAGACGCGACCCTGTGGTGGTCCAGAGCCGATGCCCTGCATCTTGTCGCCGGGCTCCCGGAGCGGAGCATGCAGAGCCTAAGCCGAGTTCATCCCGACGCGGGCTGAGGGATTGGCACGAGTGGACACCTTGCAGTGCGACTTGCGGTGGCTCGGACAACACGAAGTTAGAAAGGCCTAAGCCTAGGCCTAGGGCCGGGCCCTGGCTTACGTTTGCCTGTTCTTACCCAAGGCATCGTCGCGGTTTGTCTTTTGCCCAGGTGAGGGTCGACACGCCCGCATGCGGCGGGTGAAAAACGAGGAGCCTCCGACCGCTCATGTTTTACCGGAGACATGCCCAAACTGAAACCGCTGCACTGGCGTAGGGGCCCCGCGCTGTTCTGTTCTTGTGTCGAGGATTACTTGAGCGGCCAGACCTGCGACGATGCCTTGATGGAGACCAAGGAATGCTCAGTTTCGTCTTGCCCCTCGCAGGACTGCTCCATTAGCGCCCGGGCTGCGCTCGAATCTCTCAAGTTGAAATCACCGAATCCGCGGCTGGTGTTGGGTCTCAGGCACGTGGTCCGAGTGGTCACCATGTGGCCGCCAATCCCTCCAGAAAACGAGGAGGGCTTTGCCTTTTGTGTTGGGGGGCTGTAGTCTAAGTCTAAGCGGGCAACGTGAGCCGCGCAGGAACCGTGTGGTGCTGGTCAGCCCCGAGGGCTCAGGTATGGGATGCAATGTCTCGCCTCTTGGCAGCCAGCGGCCACGCTGCAGAAGCGCGAGACGCCCGGGGGCATCTCGCTTTGCCTAAGGCTCATGGAGGCCGATGCCTGTGCCCCGCAGGCTGGGACCCGGTGCAGCTGCCTGTGATGTGCACGTCCCACGGACGGCCAGGCAGGCGAAGACTGCATCGTCTCTGAGATTCTCGGCCCGCAGCGAGTCATTTCCTCCAGTTTTCTCAGCGTCAAGGGTGAACTAACCCCCCCCCCCCCCCCCCCC